CCCCCTGGCTCTGCCCCTGCCTGGGTTTGGGTTGGGAGAAGGGGGGGAACCGGGTCGTGCTCCCCCCAAAGCACAGCCCCCGTTCCCACGCAGCCTCCCCCTCCTCTCCCCTCCCAGGCAGTTCCCTCCCTGCCTCCTCATTAGGGTTTAATTTATTGCTGACTCTCCTGTGGCTGCTTCTCATGCAGAGGAGCTGGTTTGCCCCTCCCTGGTGCGTGGCAGGGATCGATGGGGGTGTGTGTGTCTGTTTGGACTGGCTGGGCAGGGGAACCCCCCCCTTCTCCCTTGGCCTTAAATTCCCTGAGGACTCAAACGCCTTCTCCTCCCAGAGCCGGGATGAAAAGCCGCGGGGAAAAGCGGTGCCCGATCCTGGGGGAAGATGCTGAATTTGTGCGGTTCCTCCCCCGCCTGGCGCAGACAGACAGATCCCTCCTGCCTCTTCCCCACGGGGGGCTCAAGGATTGGAGTCAAAGCTGCCTCCGATCCTTGGGAGATTTCCTCAGAATCCACCGGGAGCCTAATTCCAGCTCCATCCGCGGTGTCCATCTGCCCTCCCTCTCCGGGCTGGGCCGGAGCAGGACGAGGCACAGCCTTGCTGTCAGCCCGAATCAGGCTCTTCTTTGCCGGGTTATTTTTATTTTTCCCCCCCCTCCCGTGGCTTCCCGGTTTCCCTGAGCTCCACGGGGCTGGATTCCTGCCTTCCCCAGCCCTCGCAGGGACCGGGGTTTCCCTCCTCCCCGCAGCCAGAGGTTGCTGCCGGAGGGGGGTTCGTAGGGGGGTTCGTCTCCTCCCAAGCGTTATTAGCATGCCCGGGGCATGGGATGCGGTTGCCATGGCAATGGGATGATTTCTGCTGGCAGCAGCGGTGATCCTGATCCGACGGGAGCTCCGGGCCGGGACTGGGGGCCGTGTGTGGCTCCTTGGATTTCCCGGGAGCTGTTCAAATGGGGAATGTCTGGAAAGGCTGCTGCCTTTTGTAAAGAGCCCGGGGAGAGGTGATGGGGTGTCCTCACAGTGCTGGGGCAGAGCTCTGTCCCGCTTCCCGTGGCTGGGCTGGGAATGGTCTGTTATCCCGTGCCTTCCCAACCTGCTCTGCACATGGAGAATTAGGGATCTGGGAGGGTGTTTGGAGAATTAACTAGTGATCTGGGAGGGTGTTTGGTGTCCCACAGAGGCCCAGAATGGTTGGGGTTGGAAGGGACCTCAAAGGGACCCAGTTCCACCCCCTGCCATGGTCCAGGGACACCTTCCATGTTCTGGAACACTCAGGGATCGAGCTGCTGGTGCTCAGAACGTGGCTTTGTTTGCTCTGACCTTGGTCTGAGTCAGGCTGGGACTTCCCAGCCACTCAGGGAAGGGCTCCAGGCTGGGAGCAGTGCCGGGGGCAGGAGGGGAGCCTGGTCTGTCCCCTCGTGCCCCCCCAGCCGAGGTGCTGCTCTCAGTGGATTAGTGCTGCTGTTAATTAAGCCCTGGCTCTGCCAGCAGCTCCCTCAGGGCACCTGGACACAGAATCCTGGTGGGGTTTGCTCCTGGCTCTGCCCAGCAGGTACCACCATCCCATAGCCTGATCCTATGGAATCATTAAGGATGGAAAAGCCCTCCGAGCTCACCCAGTCCAACCATGGACCAGCACTGCCCTGTCACCACTAAACCCTGTCCCCAGGTGCCACATCCACAGGTTTTCGAACACCTCCAGGGGTGGTGACTCCACCACTTCCCTGTTCCAGTGCCTGACCACCCCTTCCAGGAGGAACTTTTCCCTGATATCCAACCTAAACCTCCCCTGGTGCAGTGTCAGACCGTTTCCCCTCATCCCCTGCACTGTGGTGTCCTCCCGGTGTCCTGTGGCTCCTGGTGAGCTCAGGACCCTCCCAGAAAATCACACTGTTGGAGTTTTAATGCAGGAATTTCTCTGCAGCAGCCACAGGCAGTGGCTCAGGGAAGTACCTGCCTTGACACTGGATCCCAGTGGGAATCCTTGACACACCAGTGCTGGAGGCACTGGGAAGGAGCCCGAGCACACAGTATTATACCCCCTCTAATCAGATTAAACAGAGATTAGGCTGAACCCTTCAAGCAGTTGGTGATCTGTTGTTTGGGTAAAACTGATTCTTGTCCTTCTCAGCCTTGCTGCTTGGTGTTTGAGGGGTGGGGAGGGTTCATTTGGGCTTCTTTGCTGTGGTTGTGGCTGCATCCTGCGTGTCCCCACGTGCTGGGGACAGAGGAGGGCTGGGGGGTCAAGATCCGTCAGCAGAACGTTTCCCACCCTTCTGGCACCCTGGTGTTGACTCCCAAGTCCCCAAAGCAGTGGGAATGTCCAGCAAGGACAAGCTGTGGAGCAGGGAGGTGTGTTTTTGGGGGGCTGGTTGGGGTCTCACAGCCAAGCCCCGTCAGCTGCTCTGTCCCCAGATGGGCAGAACACTCCCCATCCCTTTGGCACCCTGGGATGGAGACAGTGGGACATTGGGAGTGCCCAGCAGGACAAGGTGTGGGGATGAGGAGGTGGGGGTGTATTTTTGGGCTCCCCTGCAAGGCTGGGAGCGGGAGGGACCTGCAGTGAG